AGACTTGAACTGTCATGCAAAGCAGCTGTACGCTCCATTGTGTTTGTTCACTCCTGTAATGAGCGGGTGCAAAAAGCGACCAGAGCTGGTAGGAAAGCCATTCCAGCTTCACTCCCCAAGCTCCTCCATCTACTTGCCATAGTTTCAAACAAATACTCTCTGATAGGGGAATAGACAGCTGGGGCTCATGTAGCCTGAAGCCTCGAGCGCTTGGGGCATTCGCACGTTGTAAATTTCGAGACAATCGGCGTGCATCACGCTAGTATGGAAGAAACCCCTGCTATGCAGTAAAAAGAAAATAAGAGCGATTATTTTAGAGAGGCAAGATTTAACAAAACCCCTAAATGTAACAGCTTCTGCATCGCTTTTAGTATTAGAAGCCGTGTAAGGCCTAGCTTAGATTTCCTAGTTGATACTACAATGCAGGAAGGGATAAAGGTTAAAGTTGACTTCTTTCCGATGACTCTGAAAAGTGCTGAAGTCTGGGTTGTTGGTCGGAGCAGTATCTGGCTGTTGCATCGTCAAGATATAGGGCTATCATTCGACCACCTTCGAAGCCATCGTCTGTGGACACGTTTCCGTAGGTGCATGCTGCCAGCCAACCACGCCTTGTTTACGCTGGTGTGGCGAGTCAAACACAGAGTCGTCCAATGCTCGGATCATTCACAAAGCTACAAAGAATAATCTGACAACTGACTGAAGCCTTGAAATACTACAATCGGGAGCGGCGTACCCCTGCTCCCCGGCTTGGCTTCCGTGTGATGAGATTTGTACCACTCACTTTACGCCTCAAAACACCATCAACATTCGTTGGTTCTATGCTATGGTCTGATGGACATTAAAGAGAAACAAAGACTTTCGGATATTTTTTGCAACACCCCTGGAATCTACACTCACGTGTCTGTTGGCGAAGGAGAGGAAAGCAGACATGTCAAGGAAAGTCCATCTGGAGACTATTTGAAATACGCTAGATTTGGCAGTGTGATTTTAAACTATACATACCACTTGGGTAGAGAGCCGTCCAGCTGCGGGATTCACGACGTAGCATTTCCTGGAGGCTCAGTACCAGCAGACTTCACTGACTGTACTGCTACTCTGAATCTCACATACGAAACCTTACCAAGATGAGTTTCTCCACAATGAAGTTGTTCTCGAATATATTTGTGGCGGCGTTGAGGTCCTCCTACTCCGTTGTCACTGTATCCAGTCAAAGTAATCGGTAAATCTCACATTCGTCACCAAACCAAGATGGGCCTCACTGCATTAAAGTTAATCTGGAAGTAGCTTTCTATAGGTGCCGTGCTTGACTGCAAAAGAACTCACCGAAGGTAAGCTATCATCCAGGCTGCCCTCACCGAAGGCAAATCTTTCAGATGTACCGGGTCACTGAAAACTTTGTGTGTGCTGTCCTTATAGGTCGTTGAAATGAAGGTGCTCGGCACCACGGCCTCTCCGTCAGATATCGGAGGTTGCTTTACAGTGCGTTCTAATTTTGCAAGGTCTAGGGGCTCCCAGTTCAAAGTAGAATTTTTTGATGGCTTCAAATGTAAGGCATATTAAAACCCCCAAGAGAGCGCTCGAGCGCGTTTTCTGGTAGGGAATAAGCAGCGTTTCTATCTCTGTTGCTTCGTCCTTATAATATTGAAGGCCTGCTTCAGGGGGATCGTTCCCCTAACCAAGCTTGCAACTGACGTTTTACCGGTTGAGCAGTTGACTTCAGCTGATAAGAGTTCGGGCTTGTTTTTGTTTATTCCAACAGAAAATTTACTCAGAAGCCTGCGGAGCACGCTTTGTGGTGAGGTACGCGAACGACTCCAAGCATATTCTTTTGAATAATATCAAGAACAGTTACGACCACTTCAACAGTCAGTTGTGCCGCCCTATTGCAAAATGAATTGGCGGCGTCGTTTCCTACTGTGCAGGGATTCTAAAGCGGCTGTACTCGAGCCTCTGCTTGTCTTCTCTCTTCTATACCGGAATGATACGTAATCTACCGCCTTGTACGAAGCCGAATCAAGAAGATCGTCTGGATTCAGCACTCGAGGCCTGATAGCAAATTTTCACCTGTAGATCAAGTAAAGAGTGTCAAGGAATTCCTGTACGATATTACCGGGCTGGTTTCTTATATCCACATCGGTACACGATGACAAACAATAACTGTAGGTGTTTCTGTTCCAGCAAGCCGCACTGCACGCTATGCTTGTACTGGAAGGTGCATAAGTAATTGAATCCACTCAGGGCCAGGGATATTGATCAAGTGGGGCAGCTTGACAAGCAATTGAGAAGGTCATTTAGTGAAATCCTTGTGGGCAGTAGATTCTTAGGCCACTCCCATGTGAGCACCTTCAAACATAAAAAAACTCAGCGCACATCGTAATGCCAAAAAGATACGAAGCTATTGCTCAGCAACTAGATGAGCACATTCAGTACTTAGCGATGGACTGTAGTGAGGTTCAAACACACCCCCCAAACGTTGCCACCTTCGTGTGCGAGGTGTTTTACCTCGTATTTGGGCTCGTCTTCAAGCACAACGGTAATTCCTATGCTTGAAGTTTTCTAGCGTGCTACATCCACTGAGGGCGCTTCCTAAAGAAAGGACACTTCCTTTTCTGCAAAATGACGCAGGACCACACGTGATGCCAGGATTGCCGTGTGAAGGCAATTTGACTAGGACCATGCTGGAAACTCTGACTTAGAATAAGCTTGGCGCCATTCACTCCGTCTAGAAGTACACTCAGCTCAATTTTGTCTGTTTCTGCCCTTACCGAGACCGTGTGGACACCAAAGTGGACTCCCAGCTTGCACAGTATCTGAAGCAGAACCAGAATTCTCAGGGATATCATGGACTAGCTCTTGTTCCAACCTTTCTCACGAGCAAGGCGGGAGTCTAAAATTGTATAAAGACATTATTAAGCACATGGCAAACCAATGAGCACATAGATCCCATTTCATTAACACTCGTGATGGCTTTTTCTTCAAAGTTGAAGGTGAATGGTATCCATCCGCGCTTGTGAGGTCTCCTTTTCTGCGTGCTTCAAAACACGCATTGACTTTTGGATGCCTGCATGGCGCATGCTTGTTTCAGGCAGGAGTGCATAGGCCTGGCAGAAGCACATGCAAAGGACTCTTGTTGTTGCAGATCAAACGGATACACTAAAGAATAGGCTTGGCCTTTGGTTGCTTACAATTCGCCGTTTCCTGTTTAAAGGAATATTAACCGCATTCGTGTGCGTTACAAGTTTTCCGTATTTTTGTGTAGAACTACGTTGGGTAGGGGTTGTTGATGCTTCGCTACGTGTCGTGTTTGCGCTAGCAGGTGTCCGCACATTCCGTACACTGTTGCCATTGCGCGATTCGGAGTGAACCCTGAAATTCTACGTACCCTAAAACTGCTGGTAACAGCATAATCTGATAGGAATTTCGGTATTACACCCAAGCAGCTCTTCTTGTTGCAGAGGAATCTCACCTGTCAAGCATTCGGAACCAGGGACTTGCAATGTAGTCAACTAGTTCCAAGGAGACCCTTGCATTGAAGCAAATATTACCTGATAATTTTAATTGCTGATGTATTTATTTCCAGAGGTTCATGGGGGTCTGTATTGTGGGGGTTTGATTATACCACGTTAGGCAGCACTGCACATTCCCGCCCCCGCGAATAAGCGCCGCCCGCTAGAATCATCTTTACGCGTCTTATTCGAAGGCAAAGGGATGCAGTGTACTACAGGAGGTTTAGTCTACTGTTGTACCAAGAGGCCTACTATTACCCTTCATTGTACGATGGATCTTCGTTTGAAACCCCTTAGACAGGTGTCCCTTTTTACAGTGTCAATAGAAAAGAAGTAGGGAAGGCTGATCCTGGAGCTCTACGATGCCGCTCACTAAGTTTATCCGACTAATCGCAGCGCAGCGGTAGAACTTGGCTAAGCCCTTGGCCACACTGCTGGCCTTTGGCTCGAGGGCAAGGTCACGAATTTTATTGGGCCGCGATGAAGAAACGTGTGCACCACCCGCACCACTGCAATAAATCTCTATGTAGCAAATGTGACTTTTTGGTGGTGGTTTTCCGTAGATACTTTAGCCTCGTTCATACGCGGAAGACTTTGTAGAGAATAAGAGCCACATCTATGTTAAAACACAGCGTCTTGTCGCTGTTCGATAGACGTTTGCGCCGTTGTAGTGGAACTAAAAGGCTAGGCTGCTATGTTTACCCATTCACACATTGCTGTAAGGGTAGCTAGAAAGGTGGCTTTGGCTGATCCAGGATTAACGAGCGAGCATCGTAATTATATTGTTCATGCATTGCAATGGACATTGGTAAATGAACCTAGTCGTAAAATAAGGGCGTCGGTGTTGGCAATAATAAAATTTTACAGGTGTTTCTCTCCATAGTTGCAGCATCCCCAAATAGGGGCGCTGCATTTGTGGCATGGCCAGCGTCATGTACATAACAGGTATAAATCTCAAATCACAGCTCCTGACAGTTGCATCTGGGCTGATATATTGAGGGCTTCATAGTATTCTGTGGGCAGGGGATGTCGCCTGTCACCCCGCGGCGGCTGACTGCATGTGCTGGATAAAACGCGCCTGAGCGAAGCGTTTTATCATCCATGCACAGTGGGAACTGTGGGGTGAAGTATTTCTGCGTCAGCATCCGGATCAGCAATTGCCGCGCTCAAGTGGTGTCATTACCCTTGAAAGGTCATGTGATTCTGCAACACGATCAACTCTACTCTGCAACAACTACCAAACCAGTGTTGCCTGTGGCGTACAAGCAGGGAGGAATGTGTGCTTCGGAGAAAGATTGCCTACCCTGTGGCTGTGTTGCGTCCCCACACATCTTGATTGCTTCCACCAACGATGCTGCCACGCTGATAGACTGACTGAGCAGCGCCACAGCCTGCAGCAGTTTACCCAATGATGCAGGCGGACGATGGATTCTGCCTACAACAAAGATTACATGTAGATGCATTGGTACAATTCTAAGGAGCGAGCGCAAAAGCCTAAGCACAGCTTACATGTTTCTTGAAAGTATCGCTGGTAAGCGTGCCCATGGCTCGGTCCAGTGCTCCTTGCAGCATATCGGCTCCCTCTCGCTGCTCTCCAGCAATACCACTGCCCGCTAGGGCTCCAGAGTGCCACTCTGGAGCACTAAGACAACGTTGAACATTAGAGACGATCTCACAATTACCTGCCTCTTCATGGGTAGTCTTTGCTACGGGTGGAGAAGCCAGCGCTGCAGAGGTTGCAGAAAACATTGTTCCAACCCGTCTAAGAGCTGTCTTCACGACAGAGTATTCCGAAGAAATCGCATTTTTACTCTTAGTTTCGCTCCAGATCATGCCGCTGCTGACCATGACATCGTTTCCACTGTCATCAGTGGAGGATAAACAAGAGACATGCGGAAAGCAGCTCTTCTGGGGATGCAGACCCCTGGAGTCTTGCTGCAGATGCACTTGTTCCTCTGCGGAACTGCTTGCAGTACAACCCGGTTGTTCATGGCACATTTTAAAGGCTGGATCTTGGTTTGTTGAAGCTTGGAGGAGTTGTATGCCTCTGAGTGGTTCTGCCTCATCCTCCTGCGTCGTTTTCGCCGCTTGTGCTGCCTCGGCAGCCCGCGCTGCCGCAGCTGCTGCACGTTCACCAGCAGCGGCTCTGAGTGCAGCCGCAACTCGGTGAGCCACCGAACAACTGTGAGGGCTGAGAAGTGCCTGAGACTCGTGTTGGTGCTGCTCCCATGCCTCTTCTGTTCTAGTGGCCAGCAAGTGCGAGGGAACATGGATGTGGTGCTGATGCCTTAGGGCGCCTTCACCCTTCTGCACATACAGAGCTTCATCTGGCTTCTCTGTCTTGGAGAGAGATGAAATTTCTTTTGGACTACCTTGGTTGATAGTAAATTCCGCTTCGGGTTCTCGTGGCTGCTCTTCTTCCAAAAAATGCGCGTCCTGCTGTTTTTCATTCGCTGAACTTTCTATCCCCGAGACATTTGGGAGCTGACCACGAACTTTCACCTGCTGATCATCCGGTGAGAGCTGCGCATGTAGCGCATCACCGCATTCCTCCGTTAGTCCGCTAGAGCTCGCAACTCCATTAGTAGGGCTGCCATGTGGTGTGGAAAGCTGAGCCCGCGTCTCACTTTTCGCCGCCTGAGAGTCAACCGTTATCGACACCTTTTTGAAATTCTGGGTAGGCCTGAGGGCGGCTTCGGCAGTGCGGTTACTACTTATCGCCCCGTTGCGTCGGGCAGTTGCTCCAGCTGCCCTACGCGGCAAACAAGCTGAGTTGTTTGCTCCCATTTCATTGAATAATCACTGAAGATATCACTAGCACTTGCAAGCTATTGCTCCTCTGTCTTTAAATAATGGAGGGATTCCCATAAAAATGGCCGAAGACGATTCCGTTGCCTATCTCGAAAGTAGCAGGCTGAGAGGCGGGATTATTCGCAAGGGTGGAATGGATGTTGCTGAATTCCGAAGAATTAATGGCTTTGTATCCTTTAATAAAATTTATCTACGCTCATACATTTTAGACATGACCTTGCTGACTCGCATCAGGCGATATCAGGCTTATGTGGATGCTGGTCGTCCGGGGGTGGTCTCGGAGAGGGGCGGTGCCTGGCAGCCGATTTTTCTTTTGCTGCACGATGAGTCGTGCACGCAGAAACTTTCTATTACGGGAAATGTTGGGGTAACTGGATATCCAAAGACAATAATACATCTATGAGGGGAAATTCAAGCCGCGGTTCTTCGCATTTATGCTCTAGCTTTGACCACACTGTTGTGCATGCTAAAGAGTCGCGGTACTGCGACGACAGGCGGTCTGTGCAGGCGTTCTCTGATTAACATGTGCTTTCTCTCCACAATGGTTCGGTCAACAATCGCCTGTAGCATGTGGATTCGAGGAGCTTGTGTAATGAATGCATTGTGGACCACGTGAACGCTACCTTTGCAAGGCTCCAAGCATTGTTATGCCTTGGTCTAAAAAAGGAAATATCCGGTTCTCATCGATTGCATATGCTTGTAACAGGTCAGATTACAATCAGGTAGAGACTTCTCGAGAAGTTTGCGTCCAGCTTCCACTTTACAGAATCATGGATTTATAGGTTTGTCGTTCTCATTTTATAGTTGTCACGAGCTAGGTTAACTTCACATTTTGAACTTATATTCTGTGCGGCCAAACTCACTAGGCCTTAACCGTGTACAAGATTTTGGAGCTATCAGAATGTGAGTCTCCTTCAACCGCTGCTGTGCTCTCAGTCATGTGGCCTGAGACCCTGTGGACTGAGGGGGCAAGGAAAAAGTGTAGCGGTCTAAGCTACAGTTAGTCACAATTCAATACGCTAGTTACATGTAATTTTAAAATGGTCAAGAGTTGACTAGCTGGTCTGGTCGTCCGTGCATCTTATGTTTTGCAGAGCAGCTTTCGCTCGATCCTAATCACAATGCTGTGTGCGCGTGCGCTAGCTGCAATGCGCGGCTAGCTGTGAATGCTCGGCGTTCCAAGAGAATGCAGCTATGTGCACCTAGCCCCGTGGGACAACTAAAAGGCGTGAGATAGAGGAAAAGGATCTTTTCTGGGAAAGGCTCAATAGCTTTGATCACTTTTATTTAGTCGGGAGTCAAATGTCTCCCCAGGGGACTCTAGATTAAGCGTCAGAGGTAAGAGCACCTCAGGGCTCGATGCAGATGCCTCCCGCTTATCCACCGGCAGTGAACTCAGTTGAGTGTAACGTTTTCCTACAACATATGCTTGGTTTTGATCAAATCATGTAGTAGTTCGAAAATTTCGAGTCCGTGACAACAGTCTGGAGAATATTCTCTAACGATAGAAAATGACTGTGGCGCAGCGACTGTGGGTAGGCTGTCCTGCAAGCTGATATTCATGTTTAATCTCAGATCTCCCTAAGGAGCCACTGTACTCTAGGCTTAGTAGAAACCTAATAATTACTTAGTGATCATCAAAAGAACTACCGCCTTCCCTTACCAGCAAACCCCAAACCTTAGATCTCGGTACTGACAGCTAGGTTCCACGTAGTTGCACACTGTAAGCACTCTAATTATTCGCAGCTAACTGCAGATAGCATCTAGCGCACGCGAATGTGACATTGCGTCTTTTTGCTCCGAGTGAACGCTGCTGTTCACGAATTCGGTCCTATAAAGGGACAAACAAATGGTTCGATACTTAGCTCTCTTGTAATTAAATATGACTAGTGCATAAAAATACATTTAAGCTCAGCTTAGCCCGCTAAACCTTGTCCCAATTCAAATGTCGAGGCGTCTTGTTGCGTACGTGTACGCAGAGACCCACCACGTGCAGGACAGCAGAAGAGTTCTCCCTTGTCGCCACTGTCGAGGCATACAGAAACGCGAAAGTAGTGAATCTGAGAAATTTAAAGTGTGTCTCAACCGCTAAAGAGAACTCAATACGAAGAAAGGCAGACAGTATTTAGCAACGAGCAAGGAAGTAAATCAACGTGACCGCTGTACCGCAATGGCTAGTTGTCTAAACAACGCTGAAAAAAGTGTTTGCCTCATACCTCGAGACTCACAAACTAAATACATAGAGAGACTCATAGTACAGACTAGTTCAGCAGTATCTCCGCGTCTCACAAGGAAGTGCGTCCTTGTAAATACAGCGGATACAATAGGCGACTCCAAGGTACCAATGTAGAATCACCATACCTGAGAATGTCAGCGCACAAATGTAGTTATAGTAGCTACTTGGAAAATAATAGCCGAGAACTTTTCCGACAGCACTCATCTACGCACGAAACACAAGGGCTTGATGCTTGAAATGGGGGGAATATTTTGGTTTTCCAAGCTAGACTTGAATACTCTCTACTGCACTGATAGTACATGTAAATGCGAGTAACCTGGCCTCTGAATAATTGTTTGTCTGCTCAGTTATTTGCTTTTTCGTAGAGTAGCATCAATTCGATACAAAAAGGTGCAATGTCACGAGCATATCCGCTTGATGTTACGTGCGGCTAGCTGTGTACACTTCAAGTGGCTGGAGGGTGTAGCTACGCGAACTTTAGCTATTCCTTTTCTCTCTGTCTGAGCTATATGGGTTTGCGGGTAGAAGAAGGCAAAATTCATTTTGAGTAACGCTGAATAGCTCCATAAAGTTGTCTACGTTTGGAGAAAAGTGCCTCCACGTGGAGACCTTAGATGGAGCGTGATATTCAGCTGGCAAGCCGGCTTCTGTCGCTTCAGCACGTGCTGGGTCACTCTTAGTTTTCATTGCCAGGGGAACTTTCCTTCATACTAGTGCCGAAGAAAAAAAGATTATTAGATTACCATGTAACTTGAACAGGACCAAGCGACTGTTGTGGGAAAACCTCGTATTTAATCGCATTTACAGCCAGTGAACAAGTGAGCACCAGCTGCATCGAACGCTGCGGTGCTGGCAGCACTAGTGATTGTTCCAAGGTCAGAGTAGGAACAACTTGAATCTAGACTTTATACAAACTCGATCGAATTTTATTGAGGCTTTCTCAAAAGAAGCCCGCATCCCTCTGCCCTCTACCCTCAGGGGTCCCACGTGAGGGAAGAGGGTCAACTAGGGCTCGTGCAGCTGCACTTTTAATACGCTCCGAGAATTCAGAGCCAGTTGCACCCAACACATAGCGCATGCGTACACAACATTACGTCTTCTTGAAACGAGCTACCGATATTCTGGAATACACTGAATATATGACAGGCAAAGCGATTAGCCAATTTTTTGTGTAGTATAGTTATGGATAATGCAGGAAAAGTGTTTCAGTGTAGGTTCGCAAAAACGTACAGGCTCACAACGAGGTGCTATCCTGCCTGCCCGAGTACTCCAGTACAAAGCCACAGATACACTTTAACATGATTTTGATGGGGTAAATGTGAATTGAAAGCTGTCAAGCGGGGATTACCTGCAGCTGGCGGAGCTGGTTACATTAAGAATAACGGTAGTTGGTGCGCATACCAACAAGTTGCCACTGGGCAGCCTTTGTATGTTTTCCTCATATAAAGCTAGCTTGCAAAATCTAGCAATTGCATTACCCTACTTCATGAACGCACCATCTTCTCGTTTTACCACGAAATGCGTTGGGGCTGCATGCGCGGCAACGGTGGGGAGGCTGCCACCGCCTTGTGCAGCGTGCATCGTCTGCTGGGTGCTGCGTGCATGTTTCTAGCTGTGTTGCGGACAATAAGGTGGATTCTTTCCTTAGCTCCGTGCGCATCTGCGGTCAAAGTAGAGCTGTATTTATCTGATTTCCCCGTAAGACCGCGCCGCAGCATTTCCCAGCCCCCTGAAGATGGCAGCCATCCCCACTTCTTCCCTCTCGGACGGCCAGCGCCAGGAGCTGCTCTGCACCTATGCCTCACTAATTCTTTCAGACGAGGGCCTTGATATTTCAGCTGAGAATATCCAGAAGCTGATTACTGCCTCCGGGGGTTCTGTGGAATCTTACTTGCCCGGCCTCTTTGCTCGCGCACTCCAGGGGCACAAGATTTCGTAAGTCGTTTCCCCCGTGTTTTCTCATTTTGTGCTCTCTCAGTGTCGATTTGGTGGCTGCCGTTTCCTTTCGCTGTGCTGTTCCTTCCGAGCAACGAGCTGTGCGCAAATCAGCACACGTTTGTGCCTGTGCCGTTGTGGGGAGAGATGATAACATTGAAGGGCGTTCGGTTTTATTCCAGAAATCGCTGCGGCTCCTTGTTTGCTTGTTTCAATCCAAATTTACGCTATTAGCCAACTCAAGTACCTACGGCAGCGCCGCCTTGGCTTCTGCGGGATCTCACTGCTCAGTGGCTGCCAGTCCTTATTACGACAATTACCGTCATTCCTGTGCTGTGCTTTGTATTCTTATACAAAGTTCTCGACATGTTGAAATGTCCATGGAATCCTTTTGATCAAGACGCAATACCTCGTTATCTGTGGTAGATGCGCTGATATGGGCAGCCCGTTCATCTTGATTGATATGCCTTGTCTCCTTGTGTTGTGCTTTGGGGATTTTTGCAGGGATCTTCTCTCCGGTGCTGGCAGCGTCTCCGCTGTAGCTCCGGCGGCTGGTGCTGCTGCTCCTGCCGCTGGTGATGCTGCTCCTGAGAAGAGTGGCAAGGCCGCTAAAGAGGAGGAGCCAGAGGAGGAAGAGGATGCAGACATGGGCTTCTCCCTGTTTGACTGAGGGAGGAACTACACGTATTCTATCATCTTCGTAAACTGTCGAGTCTCATGTAGCCCTCGTTTACTGTACATTGGCTGGAATTTCTGGCCTGTTTGGTTCGGAGGCGTGTGGGGATGCCCAGCAGTGGCAACGAGACGGGGAGGATCCTCTGACCGCTCTAGCTACAAGCCGCTTAAGGAACCTAACGATTCTTCGGTTTGCCATCACTGCAGTGGCATAAAATCTCGGCGCGTATTAGTGCTGCTGTCGGTTTTTGGGCTACTAGGATTGGAGCAGACGAATCTTGGCAAAGCAGTAGTTTGTGGGAAGCTCGAGCCGCATCGGGGATGGGTATGCCTGATGACGCAGATCAGTGCTTTTTACTGCGGCGACACTAGGCTGATTTACTAGGTTACGCTTTTGAAACGCCTCGAGGTGTGGGGTTGCTTTGTGTTCATCTGGGGTGTTGCGTGAATCTAATCTCGTCACAACGCCCTGCATGCTGCGGTGCCTTGCATTCCGGTGGCTGCTGTGGGAGCCAGCATAACGCATTGCGAATACTGCAAAGTGGGCGAAAGAATTCACAAAAAAGCAGTTTTGGGAGCGCTGAGTCGCAAACACTGCAGAAGCGCGCCTCTGGTCCGCTCCTTCGTCCATTCGCCTCAGGGTGGTTCGTAATGATCCTTTAGAATTGGTGTGTAGGCGGGTCGAACAGTTGCGTCAGATGAGACAAACGAGCTTTGCTTCTCGATTCCTAGTGCTTCTTATGGCTACCCGTGTAGCTTTGGCATGAGCTAAGAATATTCACCCGACTGTATGAGCCGCGACTGATCCAGAGCAAGGGATGAGATGAAAGCTTTTGAATCTGTCGACATGGACGCTATCCTGACATCTGGCAGTCGAGCACTAAACTCCAATTCCAGATCAGTCCAAATTCCCTCAGGGGCCAGATGGCCCCCCACCTAGTTTGAGGAAACCTGAACAGCATCAGTTGCTGGAAGCCTGGCACGACACCACATGCTCCTCTGTCGCGGCATGCATCGAAGGACAGGAAAATGATCGTGACAGCCCTTGCAGTGTACTATGCAGCTCTTTGTGCCCCGAACGAACAGGATCACGTGTTTTGAGCCAACCATGGCCACTGCTGCCACTATTGATGTCTTCGCTGTTGTCACTCTGCCGTCATTAGATCTCTCAGTCAAATCCTTTAGTAAGCAACGCTGCGGAACGAAGTTCCATTTTTCAGGCTACGGAGTTCTCGTGTTGCCTTGAATCACAGCAGGCCAGCATCATGCATTCCGGGGTTTGACAATAGTAGCTGATTCATGAGTGTCGGAAACACGACTCCCACATCTTTGAGAGAAACCGTGGATTACCGAAACAAGAGCGGTCGCTCGACACAACAGCATTTACCTATGCTGTCACGAAAACGCATGGGCAGCCACATTGGAGATGCCCCTAATATACTTTACTGTCACGTGTTACTGCAGAAAGCTTCCAAGCTACCGAGCAGCTAGAGGGTTATCAAAGTTCTGAAAACTCTTCGTCAGCAACTATTAGGACGGATGATCCGTTTGGACAGAAAACGGTGACAATATTAAAAGAGCTGCCACTTTCTTGCCCCCATCACACCGCTTTTTTCGCACTGGGTACCGCTGCTCAGCTTGGGTGAGGCGCCAACAATAATGAGCGATAAGTTGATGTGTTGGAGAGCCCGTATCCTCGTGAGAAAGAATGAAGCCCACTCCTATGCCACCAGCTTGTGATTGCTGGGAAGAAACGACGTGTATTATTGGGTAGGACAAACAGAGGAGTTGTAACTTGCCCAACAAACGTCCTTGCAACAACATCAGCCTCCTCTGTCCAGCTCACAGGCAGCACTCTTCAAAGTGGATCAGTCAGACGCTCAGAGGTCTGTGTTATGTGGGCTTGTATCGGTAGAAGATGCAATTCCCGATAGCTTTTAAATGGGCTTGCTGGTGCGTGACGGCAAAGACTCTGCGTTGACTCTTTTTCTGCCAGATCCGGCACATTTACCATACTTCGTCTCTCGCTCAAGCCAACAATACTCTGCAAGAAATAAGATACACGAAACGACAAGCTGATAGATCAATCCTTCACTATTCAAAGGGCAAGCTCCACTTGAACACATTTTACTACACTGATCATTGACTAGCCTGCTTGTTCGTATATGTCGTCTGTTACAAAGTACTATTCTCTTCACACAAGAAGACTCAAATTGTGTGCGTGAGCGCTAGATGCTGTATGCAACTAGCTGTGAATGCTCGCAGTGCTTAAAAAGTGCGTCCCTGTGCCCTCCAGTCAGGAAATCTGAGAGCCTTGTGCAAGACACGACGACCTTTCTCCTACGAAAGCCTCATCAACCTTTGTGGAGCTACGCTGACCCTTGCTGCCTTCCTCTCCTCATATTGGAATTCTGGCCGTAAGGGGTAGAGGGGAAATGAAATTGCGTTTTTTGGAGAACACCCAGTCCCCTCCCTTTTCAAGTCTGCGTTGAATCTGATATCAAGTGCCTCTCTGTGGAGGCCTTTGAAAGAGCCGTACAAACCTGAGAGAGTGAGGGAAGGGAGAAGGAGGAGGGAGCTCTTTTGGCTGGAGACTTCATGACTGGAATAGGGTAGGCCTAGGGTTGGAGTTTGAAAGTACCTCCTTGAGGTATGGGCACCCTCGGTAAGTACTTTGGTGAAGGGCGCTGCATGATGCTACTTCAGTTTAATCTGCTCTTATGACTTCAGGGAAGTGCAGCAGCCACTAATGTACTCCTGTGAACGACGCGAAGGACCTATCTCAGAGGGCTGCACGGGGCATGGAGAACCAGGCGAATGATACATTCTTATCACCGAAAGGAAACGCTTCCCACAATTCAGGTAACGCTGCCTGTGTTTTCATTGAATATCTCCAAGAGAGGATTGTCTGCGGGGGATTGTTGGGTTCTCTCTAGCGCCTCTAGATGCGACAGGGCGTGCTCGTTTCCAGCATGAACTAGTCAGCCGCAAGTTTAGCCTGGCTCCGTTGAAAGCAAAGAATAAAATAGCCAGGAAAAAGATACAATAGGATTCTTTGAAACGGGCACAGAGTTCGCAGTTCCGGATGGCTTTGTGGCTGCAGCAGCCAGAGAGGCGCCACGGGCCCTTTGCTGGGAGATGAGCACAAAATGTGTCGCTGCAAAGAGGCGAATTGGGGAGTACAGCACGTCGTAATGAGAAGACAGAATCGATCGCAAGGGGTTCTTAGGCTACAAACTGCACCCTAAACTGCGGCAGGCAGAAGTCTTGTTATTGCCGCGATCCACGAAGCCGCTGCGGTCGCTCAGTAGGCACCATCCATTTGCAGCTCCTCTCCATTTGAAATGGAGATCTATTCCTTGGTGTGGAGCTTCAGTTTTAGTTGCGTCATATATGTATGCTTGCTTAACGGTAAGAATCCCCCCGATTCCGAGTAAGACACTTCGTGGAAGGCAACGGCAGCCCCTCCAGCAACATTGGATTTTATTTCAGATCGACTTCAAGAGAAGGCAAAGGCTTCCCTTCAAGGCGGTTCTGGAGCGAGTACACGCACAGCTCTTTGTACTGCTGGCTTTGCTCGAGCCGCTGGCGAGGAAGTCGGTGGCTGCAGCAAAAAGGCCTTGATCATGAAGAAGACGCAGGCATGGCGTTTTGGACAGAAGGCGAAAACACGGCTGTCATGATCGAGGCACCCCCGCTGTTTCATGAGCACGCGTGTTTTGTTGAACCCTCCCACCTCCCTGTTCCCCCTGCTTCACCCGCCACTGAGCTCTTCCTCTCGGTAGACACGAGGCCAGCAAAGCGGTCGAATGCCACCAGTGCAGAGGAGATCCCCTGCTGTCTTCAGTGGCGCCTTTCGACAGTGCCCCACGTAAGCCAGAAATAAAGGGCTAATCTGCACGTGTTTTCTACTACTTTGGCTCGCGAGTTGGTCGTTTCTACGGGAGTGGCGGGAAACTCTCTCTCTCCAAAGCCCCTAGATTTGCTCTCAAAATCCAGCTGTACGTACACTCGCCCCCTCGTGTTCGTTGCTGCTACTCTGGCCCCCGTTCCTCCTGCATCTGCTGCAGCTGTGGTCACAGGGAGACAAAGGAGGCACTGAGCCAGACGCATCAAGGAAGCAGACAGCAGATAAGGCTACGCGCGAAGCAGTTGTTTCAACGCGAGCTCCGCTGCTCTCTGGCGCATGAAGCCTTACAGAGCAGCCCCCGCGTCAGTGGCAGCAGCGCACTGAGCTCTGCTGTGCGCCTTCGCTCTTTTTCTGAACTCCGATCTCTCCCCGGCTATGTTTCGGAGAACTTTTTGTTCGGAGAAGATCCCTCGCCACCTCCTTCGAGAGAAAAGCCCAGAAGGCACGTCTACAGGGGGGGAGGCGTTGAAATCTACTGGCTCTCGCCAAAAGAAGGCAGTAGCAGAGGCGAGCAGTCTCAAAAGAAAGGCGCATCTTCCAGGGGAGCATCCGCAGAACCTCAAGAAACCTCCCAGCAGGGCAGCAGGGATGCCGACGCTGCTGCTTCGGAAGAATCCGCATCGCAGCAGGAGCATGCAGACAGACCACACACTAGTGCTGCAGAAACTCCCGAATCAAAAGCGCCAGCGGCTGCGGAGGCTGGACAAACAGCTGGCAAGGATGTAGTGGGTGCTGTCGGCAGAGCAGCACCCCCTGCCGAAGCATTCACTGATGCCCTCTTGAAGGACATATTCTTGTGTCTATACACCGCACTCAAAGAAAACTACGCAAAACAACAAAAGCTAGACAAGCGCCAGCGCCGTATCGAAGAATCCTTGCAACTACAGCAACAAAAACAACTCCAAAAACAACCCCAGCAGCAGCATGACCAAGAGAAAACACCTCTAGCGAACCGACAAGAAGTATCCTCTGCATCCTGCCTTTACGACACCCTAGCGCCTTCTCTCTCCTTTGTATCCCGAGGCAACCACAGTGCTAACAAAGCTTCATCATCTTCATCATCATCTCCTTCTTCTTCATCTTGTTCTTCTTCTTGTGCTTTTGCTGCTGCTGATGTGTTGCCACCAATTCCACCGCACCCGTGGTACGTTAAAGAGTCTACACGCGTAGGAAACTCCGTAGAAGCACCACCCTTACTCCCGCCTTCGCCAGGCCTGTGCTCGCAGGAGGAAAGGCTAGCACGCGACACGATAGCAGCACTTGTTACTCAGCCTCACCAGCAGCAAATGTATGGCTTCTTAGGAGGCTGCTCTCCCCCAGCTGCAAGCGCGCGGGGGCAGCGATACGAGTATCTGCCGCCGCTGCCTCCCCCCACAGAAGCTAGAATCGAAAGAGTGCTGCTGCAAGCGCGGAGAAGAAGAGCAGCTTCTTCTCTCGCAGGTTCCTTTCTGAGCCATCCCAGCGCAGGAGGGGGGGCACCCAAAACGAGCTAGGTACACAACAGGCAGCACAGGCAAGCGACTGCTGCTGCCGCCGCTGCTCCCCCCTTCTTGCCTTTTTCTTGTCAAGTGCCTTTACGAGTTTTGCTCGCGCACATGGGGAGGCCACGCCAGCGTGTAGCGGAAGGAGGGCTGTGTCGTTTGTTTGCCACGCCAGCGTGTAAGCCCCTTCGAGCACACAGCAGTCAGGCAGCAGCCAGCCTTGCCCAAGCCACTCCGTCCATGCAAGCTGCGTGCATGCGTGCTTGATTGCTCGAAGCGGATGCTCGGCGAAAGCAGATAGTCGTACAAGACTCCCCTAGGGCGGATGCGCTTATCTCATTCCGCCAAGAAGGGTCACACGAGAGCAAGGAGGGGTGGCTGCGTGCTGTTACTGAGAGCTGCACAACTCCCCCTAGGCCTCCCTATGCCCTACTGAAAAACGCGAATCCAGCCTCAGATACGCATGTTTTCACGCTTCAAATAGGCAGACAGACCGCTATAATTTTCCTGCAAGCGCTTACTGGGGTTGCCGAATACGTGTAGATCGAGATGCATACTCGTGGTTTAAAGATACGCATGCCGACATCGCGCATGCATCAGGATACTCGGTTCAAACATAGTAATACGCAGAGAGAAAGAGGTTCCCACCCTTGCATGTGCAAGCTGGCTGCTCGCATGCGCATGCGGTTGACGTATCGCACGCGTCATGTGCAATGCGGGGTGTCTTTCGAGAGGCAGACAGACGCGCTGTTTGGTGCACGGCGATGCACACAGGGAGATTCAGACAGGCACACTTTCAGCTCCTGAGTGTCTCTACATGTGGATATGCTGCGTGCATGGCTACGACGCGAAAGCGTAGGCAGGCTGCAGGAGGTCTCGTAGCAATCGTGGAATTTGGTTCTTTTCCCCTGGGAAGCCTTCTTTTGATTGTCGAGCATTCTACGCACTCGAGAATTGCGAGCGCTGCCTGCCCCTGCGGCTCTTAGTAGCCCCTATGACGGGATCCTTCAGTGCATGCATGCCCCCTACGGCTGCGCTTACACTACTCGCAGCGTGCGAAAAAGCCTTACTAGAGAGGAGATCGTCGCGGGGGGAGGGAAAAGAAGCACACTGGCTAAGACAAGGAAGACGATGCAGGGAAAGGGGGGGATGCGAGACGCATTACTGGCTTTCCTAATTGCCAGCACATCTAGAGAGTAAACGAAAGCCTCGATCTAAAACGAACGGCTTTAATAGGGGGCAGGGAAGAGTCTCTCGTGTGGCATCGGAGGGGAGGGGACTAGGGAGAGGGGAATTTTATTTTGCCCCCATGGCGGGTGCCCATAGTGCGATGGCTGCTGCACGTGAAAGTGTTGCTGAGTGGGCAATTTCAAGAGCAGCTGTGGATGCAACTGAGCAGGGATATCCTCAAGACTCTGCGGAGGGGGCTGCTTGTGCTGGAGTCGGTGGGGGTAGAAATGCTGACGGCGTCTCTCGTGCACGTGCCGTTCCTCCACGTGCGAACCGTGTGGATTCCAGTGCTGCGCATGCCGCGACGTTGCAGCTGCTGCTTGTGCTTGTGCTTGTGCTGCCTTTGAGGCATCATTCCTGTCGCCCTCTCTTTCTTTCATCGCATCATAGCGTTTCATCCGCTTGCGCGTCCACGCAGCCTGCAAGCCCTTAGCCGTCAGCTCGCTGAAACGCGGCTGCGATCGCAGGCTCAGAGAATGCAGTCTGCAGCGGAAGCGCAGCACCTCGCAGCAGCAGCTAGCCAGCTGTGTCAGCAGCACAGGAAAAAGGCGCGAACGCACGCACGACTTGTCTGGTTAAGGAGGCAGCGGCTCGCAGGCACACGAAGTCGCGTTTATGCCCTAGATGCAGACGCGCGTCTCGAGACGCTTCTATGGCTCTTTCGCCAGCAAAAACAAGAGCAGACATCAGAAACAAAAAGCAGGAAGTGCCCGTCAGCACGCTTTACCCGACTGGATGCAAAGGCGAACCGCAGAGCCAATGGCTGTTACCACCACAGCAGAGACAGCGCACTTCGCAACTCTCAGGAACGGAGGCGTAGCGGCGCTGCAATGCAAAGGCATGCAAACACACAAACACACAAATACACACGCATGCATACATACACACACGCATACATACAGCGTCCATACATACATACATACATATACATACACAAATACACGCATACATATACACGCACACATACACACATACACATACACACATACACATACACACACACATACACATACATACAGCGTGCATGGGAAAGGAGAAAATGCACGTCATTTGTGGCAGAAGAAGGCAAACGCACAAGCAGTTGGGCAAAACGGGAGGGGGGTTATAAAGTTAGTTTTACAAGGCAGCCATGCGAAAAGAATTAGGGGTAGATTGCGCATTTCTCGTTGTCAAGTCCGCTATGGAGAGGCTTTTTGCGACCTCTTCTCCCACCTCACTAACGCCCACTTCCCCACCTCAATTTTTCGACTCCCTTCACGGCTAGCCACATCTTAATCAGCCCCCCACGCACCACGCCGCTAGCTCGCTGATTAGCTAGCTGTCTAGCGCGCAAGCTGATACACGCCACCAATCGCACTTACATCCCACAAGGATCGAAAGAAAGACAGACGCCGACTCGACCGGAAGTCGCAGCGATGATCGGAGGAAAAGCGCGAGCCTCTATGCCCACAACGCGTGCAGATTGCCCCTTCAGCACAAAAAACGCATGCGCTGTCGCTGTGGGGTGTCGCTGCAGCCAGCAGCTGCCCTCCTAACAGACAGCTTTTAGAGAGTGTGTGTTAGCGCAGCACTTTATCCGTTTTTCTCCACTCTCTCCACTCGCGAGAAGCACAGAAAAACAAGGTCCTATAGACTCAACAGCTGAATCAGCACAGCAATTACAGCAGCCGCAACGCTTGATCGCGCTTACATTGACAAGCTTCTCTCGGAGAGCTGCTTCTAGGGCAGCTCTTCGCAGCACAAAAGGAGCACACCGACAGTGTCACCTTGTGAAGCGCCATCAGAAAAAGATGAAAACGCACAAGCTGCTGGTGAGATACCTCCAGCAATACGCCCTTCTCCTTCTCTGCACGTTGCTGGGCCTGAAGCTGCTGCCGTTGATCCTTCTCTGACGAATTTTGCTGCTGCGAATTCTCTTGCTGTTGCTGTTGCTGCTGCGAATTCTCTTGCTGTTGCTGTTGCTGCTGCGAATTCTCTTGCTGTTGCTGTTGCTCTGTATTCGACCATTGAGGCAGCAAAAGAACGAAGTCAACGAGTTCGAGGCGCTCTGTCGATGTCACTTGGGCAGCCGCCTCTTCCGTCTCCAGTTGCTGAGGCTTCTCCTCCTCCTGCGGTTCTTCTTGTTGCTCTTCTCGCTCTTGCTCTTCTCGCTCCTGCTCTTCTCGCTCCTGCTCTTCTCGCTCCTCTCGTTCTTCTCGCTCCTCTCGTTCTTCTTGTTCTCCTTGCTCTTCTTCTTGTTCTCCTTGCTCTTCTTCTTGTTGCCGCACAACACCCCTTCTTTCCTTTTGCTGCTGCGTTGCCGCTGCTCGTCGCATGCGACCATTCGTTTCTTCCCTTAAGACAGCTCCAAAGTACCTGCCTCCTGCGGAGGAACCCCTTAAGCGCCACCTTTCGTCGTAGTGGCGACGAAACTTTCGCTCCAACTCGAGCTGCTGCTGCTTCAAGGCTGCATGCAAGGCTTTCGCGTCTACCCGGCAGACACTGGGAAGCGCGTCGCCGTGGAGGCTGCTGCTGCCGTCCTTTTTGTGCTCGTCAGTCTCCACGCACGCCTCTACGCTTCCAGACTCCCGCCCCTCAGCGCTGCTCAAGCCTTCCGCTGCCACAGTCGCTGCTTCTGAAGGGGAGCAGCCAACATGCAGCGGCTGCAATACGCCGTCTTGCTGCAGCCTCGCGGTCAAACGTCGCAGCAGCAGCGCAAAATCGCATGCAAATGCCGCTCCTCCCGCTGCTTCAGCACCAGCCAACGCCGCTGCACGCCCAGCAGCAAACTGCATCACGGAGCTCCCGCTAGCTGCTGCTGCTGCTGCTGCATGCGCTGCTTCTGCTTCTCCTCCTGCAGCATTTTCCTCGCGAAAACGCTTCCCCCGTATTCCCCCCCCTTGCTGCTGCCGATGCTGCTGCAGCCGATGCTGCCGTCCATCTGCTGATGGCTTCAGGAGCTCCTCGAGAGAAGAATCGCCTTCCGCCTCGAGTGTGAACAGGGGAACCTCGCTGCTTCTGCTTCTCCTGCTTCTCCTGCTTCTGCTGCGCTGATGCTGGCGAGGCTGTTGCCTTCTGAAGTCGGGGGAACTGCAGGCAGCGTGCTGCTTGAAAGTAAGATGTGTCTCGCAAAAAGCAGAGCTGCTGCTGCTGCTGCTGTTGACACTCGCGCCGTGGGCAGTGCTGTCACCACGACAGCCAACATCTTGCATAGGGCTCACATGGCTGCTGCCTCCGTGCTGGAATGCAAACTTTCTGTATCTACTGAGGCTGTTGGGAACCTCGCTTCTCCCTCTGCTGCTTTGGTTTGTGTTGCTGTTGTTGCTGCCTGTCTTCTTGCTGTTGCTGGGTAGCACCTGCCTCCTGCTGCTGCTGCTGCTGTAGCTGTTGTTGGCGTTGAAGCTGTTGGTGTTGTTACTGTTGGTGTTGTGGCTATTGCCGTAGCCGGTGCTGTTGTGGCTGCTGTTGGCGTTGTAGCTATTGCCGTAGCCGGTGCTGTTGTAGCTGCTGTTGGCGTTGTAGCCATAGCTCCTGCTGAAGCTTTCGGTTTCGCTGTTGCTGTGCCTGTAGCTGTACGCGTTGCTGCTGCTGTAGCTGTTGCTGCTGCTGCTCCCCCCATCTGCACCAATGCAGTGTACGTACTGCTCCTCGAGTCTATCGTCTGTGGGGACGCTCGTTCTTCGTGCGATCCGCTGCTGCTTTGGAAGCGAAAACGAAACTGTCTCTCTGAACAATCTCTGGGGATGTTCATGGAAGACTTCGACAGCTTGCTGCTGCAGCGGCTGCTGCAGCTGCTGCGCGCGATAGTGTAGGTGTTGCTGCTGCAGCTCGTGCTGAGGCTTGGATTCGTATTCTGAACAGTTAAAGCCTGCATGCCCCTGGTATGCATGCCAAGGAGGAATTTGTGCAAGCTGCTGCTGCTGCTGCTGCTGCTGTAGCGGCTGGGAGTGCAAGACAAGGGCGGCTCCTTGCTCGGAGGATCTCGGCAAGTAAGTCCATCTGTCGTTGGAGCTGACATGCTGCTGCGCGTCTTGCGTCTGCTCCCGCCTCCCCTGCGTCTGCCAGGCGTCTTGCGGCTGCAAGGCAGCTCTCGAAGCGTCAAGACGCCATCCGAAAGCTCCAGCGGCAGCCGTGTCTGGAAGCGGATGGCAGGGAGCCTCTGAGAGCCAGGGGAGGTCCTCTCTTCTTTCTTCTCGTCTTCTTCTCCCTTCTCCGCTGCTGCTGCGGAAGGCACGAGCGTCCTGTGTGCTCTCTGGAGCATGCGAGAAAACGCCTTGCTGCGATACCCCTGAAGCTCTGCTTCTCCAGGATGCCGCCATGAAGGCACTGGCTGCTGCTGCTGCTGCTGAAGTGCAGCAGCGGCTCGCTCTGACAGGGGCCGGCGGCTGCCGCCTCAGCGGCGCTGAACGTCGTTGGTGGTGTTGTTGCTGTTGCTGCTGCTGTCTTAGCCGATAAAGCGCTCGTCACGCGCGAGGCAGACAGCGTTAGCTGTCGCCAGGGGTGACTTCTCTCTCTCTCTGTAACACACCTGACTTAGAAGTCGCGCAGTCAAGGCTGCTGTCGTTGCGTTGCGTTGCTTTGCCTTGCGGCGGTGGTGGTGTGCAGCAGCAGGAGCAGCAGCAGCAGCAGCGGCGACGGCGGCTCTGCCTTGCGGAGGGGAAAGCGGAGCATAATTGCGGTTGCTCGCTCGACAGCCAGCCACGAGCGTGTTGTTGCGTGGAAGAAAACGCGGCAAGGCAAGCCCTCTCTAGCCGACAGGCAACTCGTCGCTCTGTCTCGAGCTGTCTGTACACCGCAGCAGCAGCGGCAGCGGCCGCCGCCGCCGCCGCCGCCGCTGCTGCTGCTGCTGCTGCTGCTGCTGCTGCTGCTGCTGCGCAGGGGTAGCGGCTTTGCAGTCATGCATGTGTAACGCGTGAGGGGCCTTTGCGATCTCCTTTTCTTGTTTCACAGTTTCTACTTCTGTGGGCTTTTAGCAGCTCCTCGCGGATCATATGCTGCGGCGGCTGCAACACGCAGGCTCTCTGTGCGCCGCAGCACTAATACGCTGTATGCACAGCAGCAGCCGCTGCTGCTGCTGCCGTTATTGCACCTGCGGCCGCATCTTGCGTCTTCTGCGCAAACGCTGCATATTTACCCCTTATTGTCGCCTTAGCCTCTTGGCACCTCTGCCGCGGCAGTGACAACGGCGCATTCACTACCCCCTGCAACACCTGCCTGCAGCAGCGCAGAGGAGCGCCCCCCTCCCCACGTCGAGAGCGAGAGAAAAATATATTTTCACATTTATTCATATATTTACACACGCTGCTGACGTCGACACCTGCAAGCTTACCGCACCTGCTTGCACTTCTGCAGCACCGCTCCTGCTCCGAGATCTTCGTTCGTGGCGAGGCCCCTCCCGCCTGCGCTGCTGCCAGTAGTAGCAGCATCACTATCAGCAGCATCACTGTCAGCAGCATCACTGTCAGCAGCAGTAATACTCATCCTCCTCTGCTGCGCAAGCGACTCTGGCAAGCAGCAGCAGCAACATTCCTCCCTCCCCTAGTGGCTCTCGAGGGAAAATGGCTGCACTGGGAGCTGGCGGTCGAGAGGCACATACTCCCCTCGCGTATCGGACTGTTCTCTGCAGATACTTCCAAGTAAGCCTCTCCTTGCTGCTTACTTCTCCTTGCTGCGTTCTTCTCTCTTGAGGGGTGCTGCTGCTGCTGCCCGATGACGCCTCGTGTGCTCCCATGGAGATCAGCTTTCGCCAAAAGCGCCTGAGGCTGCGTCTAGCTGAACGTGTGAGCCAACTTTGCGGAGCCTTCCTGCGCTTACGCAGAGTGGATACTGCCCTGCTGGCGAGAGCTGCACTTTCATCCACTCATCTGAAGACTCTCTCACTCCCGCGACACAGCAGTGCAAGAGCTTCTTGATGGTAACACACACAGCTAGCGCTGCTGCCTTCGAGGCTTGTCAGAAAGGCGCATGGGCTGCTGCACTTACGGATGCCTTGGGGAGTTTGGGGAGGATGTTTCGACGTGCCAGATGCCGAAGCTTTCGCGGCTTGTATGTATGTATACATATATGTGTATATATATATATATATATATATATATATATGTGTGTGTGTGTATGGGTATGTATATGTGTCATCCTGCTTGCCTGTTCAGGGAGCTTGCAAGAACGGCATCAACTGCCCGTTCGCGCACTCCAATCCGCATGCAACTGCAGCGGGGAATGTTGCTGCAGCTGCTGCTCCTGCAGCTGCTGCCAGTCAACAGCAGCAGCAGCAGCTGCTGCTGCGGGGGCAGCAGCAGGGAGACTACGCTGGTAGGGCAGGCGCTTTTTCAGCACTCAGTGTCGACTACAAATTGGGTATGGAAACTGTTTTCGGCGAGAAGCCTGTGTGATGAACTGCTTCTGCCCCACTGCCTCCTGTCTTCTGCCTTCTTGCCGCTGCTGCTTCTCCCCCTGCTGCTGCATGCATCGCATACGCTGCATGCGATGCATGCGATGCATGCAGCGTATGCATCGCATGCGCGGCCTTCATGCCAACGGATTGGGGCTTTTGCCTCTAGAGCGGCTGATGACGCTTTCTCCTTCCGAGGCATGCCTGCCTCCTCTTTGCTGCCTCTCAAGACGCTAGTTCAGTTCACATACACACACACACATGCATGCATGCATGCATGCACACACATGCATGCATGCACACACACACATGCATGCACACACATGCATGCATGTTGAATGACTGCGACCTGTCTCTTTTGTGCCTTGCTGCAGCTTCGCACGCAGCGGTCGCGCAATCAGCAGCAGTGCATAGCCCGCATCACCGGCAGCAGCAGCAGCAGCAGCTGCAGCAGCAGCAGCAGCAGCAGCTGCAGCAGCAGCAGCAGCTGCAGCAGCAGCAGCTGCAGCAGGCTGCTTACGGCCTCGTGAATCCCTACGGCGACATCGACGGCTACGGGGGCCCCCAGGGGGCCCCCAGCTACGCCCTCGCGGCTGCTGCTCCTGCTGCTTACGCTCACGTGCAGTTTGCAGCAGATGCAGCAGCAGCAGCAAGCCCAGAGGTTGCTCTGTATCAACATCACCAACGGTACATAGCGGCTTCCCCTGCCGGAGCAGCAGCTGCAACAGCAGCTTCCGCCCACTACGGAGCCTATGCTGCGCCTTCCCCGTATGCTGCTGCTGCTGCTTCTGCAGCGGCAGCAGCAGCTCCAGCAACTGGCCCTTATGCGGCGGCAGCAGCTGCTGCTGCCTATGCCTCTCCGCTTGCGCATCCGAAGGCGAAGACGAAGATGTGCACCTTCTGGCCTGTAAGTTGCCTTCCTGCGCTTCTCGCGCTGCGCTTTTAGCGGCGGAGCCTTCTGCTTCCTTCTTCGAGGAGTCTCCGACGTGCTTTGCGCCTCCCCTCGGCGGCACACACTCCTCACGCAGATGCCACTTTTGCCACAGGCTGCTTGTCTCCTCTCCCGTGGCGATAGCAACGGCCTCCTGCCACCGTGACTTGCTGTGCAAAAGGCTGCTACTGCTGCTGCCGAAGATGCTGCTGATGATGCTGCTGATGATGATGCTGCTGATGATGATGCTGCTGATGATGATCCTTCTTCGATTGCCTTCACGTGCGCTCTGCAGGATCGATGTCGGAAAGGCGATCAGTGCCCTTATATTCATGGCAATGATGATCCTCTCCACGGTACCGCAGACGTCGCTGTCTGTCTGTCTCTATATATATATATATGCATTCTCTGCTGTGTGTGGTAGTATATATGTATATATATGTTTATACTCCCTCTGCTGTGTGTGTGTGTCTCTGTCTCTCTCTCTCTATATATATATATATATACTCCCTCTGCTGTCTGTCTGTCTCTCTCTCTACATACATACTCCCTCTGCTTTTTGTGTGCGTGTATGTGTATATCTCTGCCTGTCTCTCTCTCTCTCCCTTTCTCTCTCTCTCTACATATATACTCCCTCTGCTTTTTGTGTGCGTGTATGTGTCTGTCTCTGCCTGTCTGTCTGCCTTTCTCTCTCTCTCTCTACATATATACTCCCTCTGCTTTGTGTGTATATCTCTCTCCCTTTCTCTCTCTCTCTCTACATATACACTCCCTCTGCTTTTTGTGTGCGTGTATATCTCTGCCTGTCTCTCTCTCTCCCTTTCTCTCTCTCTCTCCATATATACTCCCTCTGCTTTGTGTCTCTGTACAAGGCTTTTCCCAGGTTTGTTTTTGTGATTGTTTGTGTTTCAGTGGGCGGTCCTGCAGCCCGTTTGCAGGCTGCAGCGATGGCTTCCATGGCTGCTGTTCATGGGCAAGCCGCAGCAGCTTATTAGTAAGCTTTTTGCATGCAGGCTGCCTGCTTGCTCGCCGTTGGAGCTTGACTGCCTCCTCCTGCACACGTCTTTTGCACTGTTTCTCGCCGTCGTGCGGAGAAGTCAGCGGCCTGTCTCTGCAGCTGCACGCCTCGAGCATGCCGTCTGCAGCGGCGAAGAGGGATGCACGCTTGTCGCAGTAGAGAGTACTTTCTCCAGAGCAGCAACAGAGCACAGGGGAAAAGCAAAGGCATTTGTGGCAACTCCGGTTATCGGGCTGCTTCTTTGGATGGCATGTGTGTTTGTACGTGTGCTTTCGTTTTTGTATGTGTGTTTTGTATGTGTGTTTTGTATGTGTGTTTTGTATGTGTGTTTTCGTGTATGTGTGCTTTGTATGTGTGTTTTCGTGTATGTGTGTTTTTGTGTTTTTGTATGTGTGTTTTCGTGTATGTGTTTTTGTGTTTTTGTATGTGTTTTTTTGTGTATGTGTTTTCGTGTATGTGTTTTTGTTGTGTTTGTACATGTGTTTGTTTTCGTATTTTTTTTGTTTTTGTATGTTTTTGTATATGTATTTTTGTATGTGTCTTTGTATATGTATTCTTGCATGTGTTTTTGTTGTGTTTTTACATGTGTTTGTTTTCGTATGTTTTCGTATTTTTTTTGTTTTTGTATATGTATTTTTGTATGTGTTTTTGTATGTGTATTCTTGCATGTGTTTTTGTTGTGTTTGTATGTGTATTTTTGTATATGTATTCTTGCGTGTGTTTTTGTTGTGTTTGCATATGTATTTTTGTATGTGTTTTTGTATGTGTATTCTTGCATGTGTTTTTGTATATGTATTTTTGTATGTGTTTTTGTATATGTATTCTTGCATGTGTTTTTGTATTTTTTTTGTATGTGTATTTTTGTATGTGTTTTTGTACATGTATTCTTGCGTGTGTTTTTGTTGTGTTTGTACATGTGTTTGTTTTCGTATGTTTTTGAATGTGCAGCCCTGCGCTTCCATTAAGCTCCAAGCGACCGAGGCCTCCCCCAAGTGTCATAGGGACAAAATTCTGCAAATTCTTCCTCGTGGTAATAGCCGCATTGACAGGTTGCCTGCGCCTCATTATTGTATTGTGTTGTCTGTTTATTCGCGTGCTGCCGATGCCATTGCTGCTGCTTTCGCTTGCACCTCCCCTCGCATGCAGCCCCCCGCCAATACTGCTCAGCCTGCTACTGCATTTTCTGCTTTGCTGCATGCATTAGGGAGCCTGCACTAGAGGCAGCGAGTGCACATTCTCGCATGATCAGAGGGTGAGGGAGAGGGAGGAGCAGCAAAAGAAGCAGCAAGAGCAGCAGCAGCAGCAGAACGAGCCGCAGGCAGCACACCTACACCAAGAGCAGCAGTTGCAAGAGCAGCTGGATCAACAGGATGTTTACCCTCACACCAAGCGCTTGCGCACTGTGCACAGTGAGGCCGAATGTTTAGATCAGGTGCAGCGGCAGCAGCAGCAGCTCGAGCAGCAGCTTCACCAGAAGCAGCTGGAGCAGCAGCTGATGCTTCAGCACGAGCAGCAGCAGCAATTGCAGCAAGAGTCTCAGCAGGAGGAACTATACCACGAGCATCAGCAGCAGCAACAGTTGTATCAGGAGCATCAGCAACAGCAACAGTTGTATCAGGAGCATCAGCAACAGCAACAGTTGTATCAGGAGCATCAGCAACAGCAACAGTTGTATCAGGAGCACCAGCAACAGCAACAGCTGTATCAGGAGCACCAGCAGCAACAGCAGGTGTATCAGGAGCACCAGCAGCAACAGGTGTATCAGGTTCACCAGGAGCAGCAACAAGTGCAGCAACCAGAGCACCAGCAATTGTACCATGAGCAGCAACAAGAGCAGCAACAAGAGCAGCCCTTGCCTCAAGAGCAGCAAGAGCAGCAAGAGCAGCAGGAGCAGCAGGAGCAGCCCTTGCCTCAAGAGCACCAGGAGCAGCAAGAGCAGCAGGAGTCTCAAGAGCAGCAGGAGCAGCAAGAGCAGCAGGAGTCTCAAGAGCAGCAAGAGCAGCAGGAGCAGCAAGAGCAGCTCTTGTCTCAAGAGCAGCAAGAGCAGCTCTTGTCTCAAGAGCAGCAAGAGCAGCTCTTGTCTCAAGAGCAGCAAGAGCAGCTCTTGTCTCAAGAGCAGCAAGAGCAGCCTTTGCCTCAAGAGCAGCAGGAGCAGCAGGAGCAGCCCTTGCCTCAAGAGCAGCAGGAGCAGCAGGAGGTGAATGAGGGGAAGGCGTCTGTCGTAGCGGATGGAGTGCAAATGCACGAATCAGCCGTGGGTAATGAGCTTTTGCAAACGGAGGAGCAGCATACAGGAGCAGATCAGTAGCAGCAGCAAAGAGCCTCATAAGCGAGAATAGGCATCGAAAGAAGCCGCTTGCAGGGTAAAGCGCCAAGACGTAGCTGTGGATTTGCTCCGTCCCCCATACTTTGCACGTTTGTCTGCACGCGCTGCATTTATGAATATTTCCTTCTCCGTAGTATTCTCATTGCATGCGTCTGGGCAAGACTTATTGCTCTATAACCCGCAAAGGCGCCTCAGACGTGGAGGCTGCTCAGCAGGCTCTAGGCTGTCTTCTGTACTTGCAATATAGCTGTTGGTGGGCACGGCAAGGCCCTGCGAGAGAAAGTGCGTGGCAGCACATAAGGCGGAATGTAGAGGGGAGAATGAATAGGCAACGGGAGAGTGGAGGGATGGCAGAGCAGACTACGGCGAAGTATAAGGGAAGTCAGATGGACACCTCAGAAAAAACATGAGCGCTAAAGGCCTTCTGGGGCGGCTGCAGCGGCTTGACGCCTTTTTGGTGGCTTTGTTGCGAAATGCTTTGACGAAGGCTGCATTAATTGGCATTGTACTTCAATGCAGTCCAGCGCAGATGCACTTGTAACCGCGTTTGAGCCTCAACAGTAACTTTCACACAATCACCCAGCAGCACCACCAGCTGAGAAGGTTGTAGAAAGGATGAGGGGGGACGGTACACCTGCTTGCTTGTTCTCTGTAATGTCTATTTTGTTGCCATAAAATTCTAAGGCGCTCGTTGCTGCAGCGGTTGGGGCAAATTGGCCGTATGGCCGCCACTTGTAAGCCGAATGAAGAGCGCAAGGGGTGGGGTGCACACGTAACGCAGTTTCTGTGCACCTGTAGAAGTCAAAGCGTAGTCAACTAGCTGTTTCTCTTGCGATGCTGACGCATGCATCGATAGGGTGAGGGGGTACCCGGGCATGTGTCGATCGTTTGAGTCTACCCGGGGGAGTGCTTGAAATTTTATACGGGTGGCGAGAACTAAACAAATTTCAAAGTGCACTGTTCAGCACTATAAAGGCCACTAAGGTGTGCATGAGTTACAGCGGAATGTCAGACTTACGTCTGTTGATGTGAGTGTTTCAAGCATATTAACTGGAGTTTCACGGCAGATGGGAAGGGTGGCCTTTCTATCATAGACTCAAAAGTGTATGTACTTAGACGGTTCTTGAGGTGTGAGCAGGTGCCATGTTATGGGGTGTGTAGCTGGGGTGTTCGAATCCCCACGGATGTGGTGTTATAATTTACTTCGAGCAAGTTTTGAACGAGCAGTCTAACAGTGGATACCTCGCATTGAATAGCAAAATTTTAGAGCTACATTGGTGGACTGATATGATTTAATGATTCGAAGGCAAGAAGAGAGTAAACGCACGGGTAGTTCACGGTCGATTATGTGGCAATCGATGTGGCGGCTCGTTCGTCACCGGTTCTGACCATTCGGGGGTAATCAATTAATTTAAAAAACGAAAACGTTAGAGCGATTCATTATACATTATTTTTACACGTTTTAGAAATACATAGCGCCAGTTTCCGAGCGAACGACCTCTACTTGTGCAGCAGAGAAGATCATTTCCCTGCTCTGGGCTGCTGGCAGTATGTGTATGAAGTGGCTTGAAGAGAAGATCCTTCCTCTTAGCCCGTTTGAATGACAATTTTTGCCCGTATTTGTTTTAAGCTTTTCATTTTGCCCTATGTTGAGGGAAAAGCTGGAGACCCGGTGGTTTGTGGGAAACCCTGGGTGCTCGATGGTGTGGTTCACGTTTATTCATGAGAAGCATCAGAGTGAGAAGGGTGCGCTGCCACGCCTCTTTTGAAGCTCTTGCGGCATTATTCTTTCTAGTTAATAGTTATTTTTTGCCTGTCAACAGCAAAACATCTGCCCTTGATATGCAGCAGAGACCCTTATTTCAACTGGGAAGTTCTGTGTACCGCTTGCACTGATGTGTCTAAGACACGTTATTCGTCGGGCAAGACAGGCGGAATCGGTTTTGAAAAGAACATACCCGCACCGCAATTTTGGAGCTTCAAGCGTAAAATATTAGCCAAGGCCTCAGTTGTAAAAGAAATATATTTCTTCATGGTGCTCAGCATCGGAGTGTTTCATGCCCTCCGCGAAAGGCTATGTGCTTGCCCACTTCAAGGCTCCCTGTACCTCAGACTGTGCCCGAAAGATCCGAACGTTCTGTACTTTATATGGCCGTGTGTTTTCCCTTGTACTGGCGCCATGAAAACCCAGTCGTTCCGGAACAGCAAACACCCTAACAAGCATGATGAACTTACCGAGGAGGCAACTCGGTGTGGCCGGATTGATGGTGGGAGAGAAAAATTCACACAAGGGAAAATGGCTGGTCTTGCTGGGGAGCTGTTTGCTGATGATCGGAGGCGGCGCGGCCTTTTCGTGGAGTGCTCTAGCCTATCATTTGTTTACCCTAAACCCCACTATTAGCACCGACGCAGCTCAGCCCTTTTCGTGTTATAGCCTCTCGGGATGGGCTGTTCTTGTTTATACCATGGGGCTTCTTTTAGGCCTTCCCGCGGGTGCTCTCCTGGACAACCACATGGGGCCGCGGCTGCCCAGTGTCTTGGGTGCTTCTATTTCGTTTTTTGCATGCATGGGGGGTTCTTTCGATGTTACCAGCCACTGGAATATCCTTTTGTCCTTTGCGTTTTTAAATGGACTCGGCTTCGGGCTGGTGCTTTTCCCCGCAAGCACGGTAGCCCTCCGTTGGGATCCGAAATCATGTGCTGCTTTCTCCACGCTCAAAGGAACAGCCTTCATGGGCGGCTTTCTAGTGTTCGCCCCCACTGCTGTTGCCCTCATGGCTCCTGCATCTGCATTTTCCACACACCGCAGTAAGTCAGCGCAACCATTAAAGGCGCTCCTCTGGCTATGGGATGGAAGCCCGAAGGCCGCTTCCCGTGGCTAAGATGAAGCTGCATGCGCAGTCTCGATTAGCTTGATTTTCTCGTACTTACGAAAGTAGTACAAGGTGCACGCGCCACTTTGCTCCTGGTAAAGTTCGTGGTGCTGCTCGAATTCCTGACCTCCCGCTCGTCAGATTACTAGGCAGCCTCTAAAGAATCGGCTGCCCCTTTCCTTTTCCTTCCATGCAGCCTGCTTGTGGGCCGTGGAGCTTTTGCCGCTTTGTCTGATGCTTCAGAGGGCGCAGAAGCTTCGCTTTCAAATATGTCCACAGTGGTTTCAGCAGTACGCGTGCTAACAGGGACCATGTTTTTCTTGCAGATTGTCGGCTGCGTTTTTGTTGAAAACCCACCATGGTGAGCAGAACACGTTCTCTTTTTCAGTTTAGGATGTGCATGCGCCGCTCGTTCTCTCTGCAACGGATACTACGAGACTTCCTGGGCAAACCTGTGCCTGAGAGCAAGATGCTAAGCCAATATCCTTCGAGCAGACTGATTGCGCGATTTTCGGTGTCTAGACGCATGATTCTAGAGCGGCTAAATGCACTCGCTGTGCCTGTACGCTGGTAGCAAGAAACCCACCCACACTCACTGCCGTCAAATCTTGCGCGTCATCCATCATTTTGGGGCTGAAATGCATTCGAAGCGCAATTTCTTGCTGCAGTCGCTCCTTCGAACTCCGTAACTGCAGTTTGCAAACGAGGGGCTCAAGTGTGATACGGCTGTTTTGCCCAAAGGGGTCACGAATGGAGTGCCAGTGTAGCCGGAGTGTAGACATGCCAGAGCTTTGCCGCATGCGTACTCTGTCTTGAACGTTTCGTTTCTGACGTGAGATGCTGTGTGTGCCCAGGCATCTCTACGATGCGCGCGCATGTGGGGAGCTCAACCCCCAGATAAACTCCTGTCTTGCGCTTTTCTTTTTGCGTAGGTTTTCGGCTCGAGATGCACGCAGTGTGTCAGGCGAAGGGAGAGAGGTCGGGTCGTCCAGTGGCAGTGGCAGTGGCAGAAACGGAGAGCCCAAGCCACCAGTCTTTGCTGACGGCTCCGACAAAAGGGTCGTGTATCTGTCTCACCTGCTCTCTCCCTTCTCCTTGACCTCCGTGTGGGATACAGCGCTGAAGGTACAAGGCCTTTTTCTCTCACTGGCGCTTCCCTCCCCGTGGGAGCCCACAGCTGTGGGGGTTAGTCTGCGTGTGCGTCAAGCTTTGAGGACGCCAAGAGCATGGGTGTTGCTGGGGTTAGGCTCCCTCAATGCCTTTGCCTGTGGTCTGCTGCTCGCACATTGGCGCCTGGCGACAGTGCAGCGTGGCAAGGTGGACTCCGCTGCGCATGTTGCCGCGAACACGGCATTTGCTGCTGTTTTGGGGATTATGGCGCCTGCGTTTTGGGGAGCCTTCACAGCGAGCAGCAGTTCCTTCGCTGCTGCGGTCCTGAATCAGTTCTTGGGGGTGGTGGCTTGCGGCTGTGCTGCTGCTGCTCCTTCGGGAGGAAGAGGCTTCAGTTCAGTATCCCTTGGATTTTTCCTGTGCTATTTCGTGGGAAGCATTGCGACGCTGTCTCGCTTCGTCGCCATTGCCTTCGGCCCTCACAGAATGGCATTTCTGTTGTTTTTGTACAGCAGTGTGTGCACGTCTGTGGGCTTCCTGGGGGCTGCGTTGGCAGCCCAGTTCTGCCTGCCTCTCCAAGGAGGGTGGTCCATTCTTTTTGGAAGCGCTGCTGCTGGGCTGGTGGCGTCGCTTGCCTCCTTTTTGGCGGCAAGGTGTCACAAAAAGAGATACGGGAGAATCTTAGATTTGCCGTGCGCCTATCATTTCAAGTTCCGAGACGCCGAGGGGCCCGAAGGGGAGTCAGGTGCGAAAAAAGCTCCCAAAGGTTGGGTTGGGTTGCGTTCGGGGAAAACCACGCGAAAAGTTTCGTTTGCATGACCAAAGTCTTGCTTGGTGATACCCTCTCTACCTCAAGAGTGCACCATGGTTCTGGCTTCCAGATGGATGCCAGAAGACGGGCTGAGCACGACGTCGTTCGCAGACTTCCTGTGCAACGGGAGGGATGATAAGTTTGCGTGTGAGGGGATACGCGACATGCGCGTTTGAGATCCCGTTCAATAGCTCTCTCTTCCCTCCTCACTGTGCGCACGTCCTCCCTCAATAGCTCCTAACCGAAGGAATGCGGGCAGCAGCCCCTGTCCAGTCTGCGTCTGCTGCTTTCCTTCAGACGGCAGCAGCGATTACTCCTTCCCTGAGTCTGAGTCTGATGATCCGTCGAAGCCTCTGAACCTCAGCAAAGCGGTCAAGGAGTATCACCAGCAGCAAAAGGTCAACAAAGAATTTGATGGGCCTCTGCTTGCGTCCTGTGGGGGGTTCATACAGGAAGAGAGCATTGTTCATTTCCCAGCAGCAAACGTTCGACAAACGGCCGAAGAATATGCAATAGTGCGTGAGAGGCGCCTACTGCTGTTGTCTACATCGCTGTGGCTGCAGGGCGGCCTTGTTTCGTCTCGAGCGCAGTTGCGCTGCTTCTTGAATCCGTGTCTGCTCCTAGGGGTATTTAGGATGTGCTGTTTCTTGCAAAAGTTCGCGGGCTCAATCCTCTTTGCATGCCCGTTTTTCTCATGCAGCCTCCCTCCCCTCCCCTCCTCCCCCGCGCTTCCAGTCCATGATGCCACGATACCTAGCATCTGCGTGTTCCGAATTCAGGTGTCCTTTCATCTCTTTTTTTTCTCGGCGCATGCGCGGCGCTCTTCGCTGGTGCTTGTGTTTGCCTCAGGAGCCCTCGTTCGTCGAGGACGATGCAGACATCCTCCCAGACGCTCAAGAGGCAGAGCTTGAGGGAGAAGAGGCAGGAGACGCGCCGCATGCGCAGGAGGGCTCTGCTGCAGCAGCGCAAGGCGATGCGGAGGAAGACAGCGTGGCTTCTGCGCGCTCGTCTGTAGAGGGGGGGACTCAAGGTGTTTGGGGGTGAGGATTTGCGGCGTGGGGCGCTACGACGTGCGAAGGCACTTTTTCTGTAGGCTTCCTGTCATTTTCTGGCCCTACTTGGAGTGTAATTTGGTCGAAAAAACGCAAGCGCGACAACAGCGCGAACAGCCAGCTCCAAGAAGCGCCGCTAGCAGCCACACGGCAGGAGCCTGCACCGTAACCCCACAACATGCAGTGGAGGGGCAGTGGTGGGAACCCTTTGCTCTGAACGTGCTGCTGCCGCCCAGGCAGCTGACACAGAGCTGGACGCAGCGATAGCAAACCGATGACGAGCAGTTCCTCCGTTGGCTTAGCTCAAGCTCTGTAGTTAGAGAATATGCATTTATTTTCGATGTTACTGAGGCCTAATCTGCTTTTTCACGTTTATACAGCGAGCGCGGTGCCCCTAGGCGCCTTTCTGTATCGCCCCGCCGTTTCCCTTCCACGAGATCGTCGCAGAAACTTCTGAGCTTCAGAGTTGCCTCCGCAAATCCTGAAGGCACTTTGACGGTTTAGGGCAGTGTTTCTTGTTTTGAAAGTCAAATTTTATCATAAGGGGAAGGGGGGAGAGGAACGGCCATCTTGAGTGGTCATGCGACGCGGCGAGCTACACGTATTTTTCACCAATCATGCAAAGACCGGCATCGCGCCCTGCGCGTTCAGCGGAAAGAGTTTCTGCAATTTGTCGGCTGCACAAAGCGCTGAAAATTTCCAGCCGCTGCCGCCGCTAGTCAAGAGGCATCCGCCAGAACGCGCCAAAGTGTGCGAGAGGAAGAAAGCGCTTTCGCGCATATCCTTGCGTTAGCAACATGTCCAAGGCAGCGTGAGATCATTCCTCTGTCTATCTATCTCTCTCTCTGCGTGTCACGATGAGAAAAAGTAGCCCCATGTGTTGTCACCCCTGGATCTAGAAAAACAAGCGAGAGCAACGGCAGCTTCCGTTGCAGCTGCAGCAGCTGGTCACCAGGGAAGCCAGGCTGCAGTAAAAAATAATGGGCGCCAAGAGTTGGTTTTTTCTGCCAAGCGGAGAGACAAGAGAGAATCAGGGAGGGAAGCACATGAGGGGAAGGAGGAAGCAGCCGCAGCTCCCCAGTCGCTCTTGCGGCTGCATGGCTGCTAGATGCGCTGCTGCCGCTGCCGCTGCTGTGGCACCCCTTCAGCAGAGAGGCTACATAGATGTATGGGAACGTGCTGCGGGAAATGCAAAAACGACTACAAGAAGTGCTGCTGCCACGCCAGCCTGACGGCTCAAATTTCTACTGCGGGATGGGAGGAGGAGGGGCTGTTTGGCGGGAGCGAGCTAATAAACTATCGATGAGAATTCCCTTGCAGCGAGGAGTCAATTGGCCTTTCGCTGTCTGTGGCAGCTGGAGGGGCACTGGCGCGAAGTACTGACACCCCACAGAGCTGCCCATGCTGTTCGTTTTTCTGGCGTCGACAGGCGGCTATCTACTGAATTTGTTTTGTGCGAGTAACAGAAGCAGATAAGGGGAGGCGACGGCGTGACGGTGCGTTGCGTGCGAGTTCGTTTTTTTTCGACCTCAGCTGCCACCAAGTCGTGGAGGTTCTCTGGCGACTGGAGCTGCCAGAGACGCTCTGAGGAGCGCGTTTCGACGGGAGGGCGCCTGTTGCTGCTGTTGCTGCTGCTGCAGGAGGCGCTGTTGCTGCAGCTGGTGCTGCAAGTGGAGCTGCCGCGTTTGCAGTCGCGCCAGCTGCTGCTGCTGCTGCTGCTGCTGGAGACGCTGCTGCAGCTGCAGCACCAGGGAGACACCGCAAAGGGGGGGCGGCGTGCGGCAGACTCTTCGGCAGCTGCCGCTTGCTGCGACGCGCTGCTGCTGAGGCTGCGATGAAGCGCTTCGCTGCTGCTGCTCCTGAGCAGCCAGGCAGGGAACAGCAGCAACAACGCTCTGCTGCAAGTCTACCTGCACAGCCTCCCCCCCTTGAGGAATTGGCAGCGTTTCCAACGTGGGCGTGGAAGGTTTGCTGCTGCACGAGGCTGTTGTCGCAGTGCTGTACGGAGTCGACAGGCAGCTGGCGCTGCTGCCTGCTGCTGCGTCTGCCTGCCGGCCTGATGGCACTCCCGACGCTGCTGCTGCTGCTGCTAAAAATCCCTTAAAGCCGCAGGCAACGCAACTCGGAGGAGGCGACAGTGAGGAGCTGCCTGCCCTAGGGGGGAAGTTGCTCGCCACATTGCCGAGAAAATCTTCTGGCTGCGAGGAAGGTGGGAGCGAGGAAGGCAGTCGAGTGCTCATTGCGGAGGGAGGCGTTGTGCTGAGGAAGCAAAAACGCATAGCGAAAATCCCCTCCCTTCAGAAGCTCTTCTCTTCTCTGCGCGGCTCCTCCCGTTTCGTTCTCCTCTCCCCTTTCTTCTTTCGCATTATTTGCGCAAAAAAATTCGCGCAAAAAACCAGGCAGAGAAGGACGGCAGAAACAGTCTCTCCCCAAAGTGCTGCCAAGGCACGCCCAACTCCCGAGCATGTTCTTTCGCAGAAAAAGAAAAGCCTTGTGGTACCAGTAAGACGGAGCGATAGATAGAGAGAGAGAGAAAAAGAGAGAGACAGAGAGAGAGACAGAGAGAAAGAGAGAGACAGAGAGAAAAAGAGAGAGAGAGAAAAAGAGAGAGACAGAGAGAAAGAGAGAGAGAGCGAGACAGAAAGAGAGAGAGAGAAAGAAAGAGACAGAGAAAGCTGAGTGCATGCGCTCTCAGCTCCTCTTCTTCTCTCTCTCTCTTGCCATTAAGCCAGCCTGCTTCCCCGCCCGCCAGCCAGCCTGCACTTACTGCGTTTGAGGTATGGCTTCTCTGCACACGGAGTGTTGCTGCGGAAGAGGCAAATACTCCAAGCTTCTCTGCCGCAGGCTGATTTGTCGCAATCCACATTCTGGATGCGGGCTGTGCTGGCTACTCTGAAGAGTCGGCTGCTGCTGCACTTGCTGCTGCAGAAGAGCTTTCTTCCCAGCCTGTAAAGACGGAGGGAGGCGGGTGAGATCTCGCACAGGTGCTACGTGCATGCAATGCTGATGCTGCAGATCAACTGCACCCCCGTAGCTTGGAAGAGGCCTGACTGAGCCTTCCTGCTGCTGGGAGTAATGCGTTTGCTGTTGCTTCTGCTGCTGCAGTTGCACTTGGCGTTGCAGTTGCTGCAGCGCTGACTCCTCGTCGTCTTTCTTGGGCAGCTGCGCTGATGACGCAAATCCACACGCCGCAGAAGGCTTCTTGTCTTCCGAACTGTTGTCGGCAGCTGCAGACGGAGCAAGAGGAGGCAAGGAGGAAGAGGAGGAGGCAGGCAGCTGCATTTGTTGCATTTGCTGCATTTGCTGCTTGTGCAGATGCCGCGTCACATAACTGTGACCGTACAGCTGCTGCTGCTGCATTTGCTGCTGCTGCATTTGCTGCTGCTGCATTTGCTGCTGCTGCATTTGCTGCTGCTGCATTTGCTGTTGCTGTTCGGCCAGATCCTTGGAGCCTAAGAAAATGAAGACGCATCACGGCAAGGCAAAGAAGGCTTCTCACGGTGTTGTGTGTTGCCTTACAGCGAGGGATCTTGCGAGCGCTTGCACGTGTCTGTGCGACTGTCGGAGGTGTTGCTGCAAGTTCAACACTACACACCTGCTGCAGTGGAGGGAGAGCTCCTGTTTGCGCGACACCAAGGCAGTGATTGCTGCGGCAGCTCCACTGACACGTGCTGCTGCTGCCTCCTCTGCTGCTCTGCTGGCGCGGCTGCCTTCGCTGCTGCATGTGCTGCTGCTGCACTGCTGCTGCTGCCTTTGCCGCTGCTGCCTGTGCTGCCCACGCCCTTCACAGCGGAGGCATTTTCTGTCAGCTGCAGCTGCTCGAGTCGCAAATCGCAGTGCTGCTGGCTAGACACCGTAGAGGGGATAGGAAGCAGCCAGGGGTGGTGAAGGGCCTCGTAGGCTGCACACAGCGGCAACAACAGCGAGAATCCAGGAGCAGCCTCTCCCAAAACGGCATCTTTTCTTTGCCTCCCTCCCGCCATCCTCCTTTCCCCCCGTCCATATGTGGCACCCCGCTGACTCCCCGTCCTTTGCCCTCACCCGACTGCATGCGCGTCTTGACGTCGAAGGTAAGGAGACGCTCAATGAGATCAGAAGCAAGCGGATGGCGCGCTTTCAAGCCAGCAAAGAACTGAACTCCCTGCTTTAGAATGCGGCGTATGGCTCGGCCGCTGAGCATGCCTTGCTGCTGCTGCCGCTGTAGATGCTGCTGCCGCTGAGCAGCCGTTCCGGCATTTCCAGGGGAGCCAGAAGGCACGCCGTGTTTGCTGCTGCTGCCAGCACCCCCTCCTCCTCCTCCAGTAACGTCAAAGGGAAAGTGACCGTCCAAGAGGACGTAGAGAATCACACCCAAGCTCCACAGATCTGAAGCCGTGCTGTACTGCCCCATGAAGCACTCAGGAGCCTGTGTACCACACAACGAAATCAGCATATACTTGCAAGTAGCTAGCTAGCTAGCCATTTGGCTAGCTGGCGATATGCGGATTTTCGAGCTTCCATGCGCGCGGCCACCCACGCAATGCCACTGCCAGAAACACGGCCCATCTATATTTATATATATATTTATTTATACATTAATACACATATTAACATGTATTTACACAAACATGCACACACAAACACATATATATATATATATATTACGGAAAAACGTTCACGGCTTTTCCCAGTAAGGTCATGCAGACTCTCCTTCCAGGCAAACACTGTAAATACAGTGCCTACACACACACGACGCCGTACGCATATGGATATACAAACACACAGATATTTGTATGCAAACATAGATACGTATATATATACATAAACATAGAGATAGAGATGGCAGCGCAATTTCTACCATGTATTCTCTGGTTCCGACAACGGATATTTCATTATTTCGAAGTCTCGGCTTGGGCGCCTCTTCAGAACGCAGCAGAAGGCACATGTCAAAGTCAAGGAGAGCCAAATCGCCAGTCTGCCCGATATCTTGCTGCCCGGAGGAGGAGGAATCTGCTTGACGGAAAATGATGTTGTCGAGCTTGATATCCCGATGCAAGATCTGCTCAGGCAAGACGCGCAGCAAGCAGCAGGAGATATCCATGCACAGATTTACATATACATGCATATATATACATATATACATATATATATACAGACGTAAATTAGATGCTGCATAGATGCACAAATATGTATATATATATATATATATATATATATATATATATATATGTGTATAGGTGTCTATTTGTATCGATATACATATATATGTATTTGTATAGCTATGAATGCATTGCGTGGGTATCCCTATATAGATGCAGAGATATGCAGAGAGAGGAAGCTGTCATTTTTTGTGAAGACAACAAACGGAGTCGGAGCGATGGACCGCTCAGCCTCCGGCTAGAGGAACGGCCTTGAAGAGAAGTTTCTGTACGGCAGGGGGAGAGCCAACGGAGGTGTTATGGCTGCATGCGCGTACTCACGTTGTAAGAGTGAAGAAAATGTATAGCGAGGAGCAGCTGCTGCATGAGGCGACGGCAGGAAGAAGTTGCTATGCCTCCAGGCGGGCGTGTCAAAACGTAATCTACGAGGTCTCTGCCCTCGCACATTTCCATCACCTGAGACGTATAAATATATAAAAATATGAATAAAAATATATGTGAATATGTGTCCAGCATTACGCGCTTGAGGCAGAGCTTGTTTCGCTGCAGGACGAAACGTATTGCCACTCGCTCGATCGCTTGGCTATGCAGTTGATTGCAGCCAAACGAACGAGCAGAAAACTACGCGAAGTGCCTTCTCCCCTCAAAAGCCCCTCACAATGAAAGCTCCAACGTGCATGCAGATGTACAGCCGCAGCCACGGAGCAGGAGAGGCTTTCTTATTAGTCAAGAGCTGATCTCGCTCTCAAACGACCAACAATAAGAGAGGAGGACACACGTGCCTTTTCTTTTTAACATCACGAGTGGCGATCGTGTGTATGTGTATGTGCATGTGTATGTATATATGCATGTGTATGTGTATATGCATGTGTATGTGTATATGCATGTGTATGTGTATGTGCATGTGTATGTGTATATGCATGTGTACATGCATGTGTATGTGTATATGTATGTACATGCATGTGTATATGTATGTGTATGTGTATATGCATGTACATGCATGTGTATGTGTATATGTATGTACATGCATGTGTATGTGTATGCATGTGCATGTGCATGTATATATGCATGTGTATATGCATGTGAATGTGTATGTGCATGTGCATGTGTAGTGTATATGCGTGTGTACGCATGTGCATGTGCATGTGAATGTGTATGAAAAGAAAGTCTGGCGGTAGCGGCATGCACGACTTCTTGTCGCGGCAGCAACTACAGCAGCAACTACAACAGCAGGCTGCGGCTCAGTACATACAATGTAAAAGTGCGTAGAACTCTCCAGCAAAGCAATTGGTGGCAGCAGCAGGTGAGGATGCGGGGGTAAACGCGAGAGAGCCGAGTAGATAGCTCGATAGTATTCGTCAGTCGCAATCAATCTGCGGGAGCAGCCAACGAAATGCGCAAAAAGTTTTCATGAGAGCTTCAGTTATCGGCTAAAACATGCATGCATGCACCGCTGACGAGGCTACGCATGCAGCCCTCCTACGGCTGTGGACGTTGCAGGCGGCCTTATGTCGAAAAGTGTGTGAAGACATCGGCGCATCATGTTGCGCTACTCAGGAGAGGAGGCACATCGCAAGCAAAAGCAGAAAGAAGGGGCGAAGGCAGTGAACCACTTGCGCCTCACCCTCCCTCTGCTCGTACTACTCCCCTCTACTCCTACTAGTCTCAAGCCTTCCCTCCTGCCTGCCGAACGCACCTTTGTCGTGCCTTGTCAATGTCTTTTACGGCAACTATACGACCAGTAGCGCGACAGCGAGCGCTGTAGACGGTGGCTGTGCTGCAGCAACACGGCGGGAGCAAAAAATCGCAGACTGACGCTTTGAAAGCCACTTTACAGAAATGAGAAATCCAATACATGCAAGCATGCAAGATCCTTCCTCCGGTTCTTTTTCTCTTCTTCCCCAATATGGCGCACTAACCGCCGTTTCTCCCTCCCTCTCACGACCCCCCCCCAACAGGTGAGCGCTGAGACTTACTAGCCTGAGCCAAGTTTCCTGATCAACTCGTAATGGTCATGAATGCAGCGAATACTCTGCGGCTCTCCCGCCGCTGCGATTGCAGGAGCAGCAGAAGGCAGGGAAGCGGGAGACGCCACTCCGAGAGCATGCCGAGCAGCTGCAACTTGAGCCATTGCCGCTGCAGAAGAGGCGAACGCTGAGCACTGCAACTAGCCCTTGAAAGAGCTTTCTCCTTGCCTCGGTGAACTTCTGCCGCGGCAAAGGATTGCAAGCAGAGATATGGCAGACTGCTAGCCTGCCTTTGGGAGCGCGCTGCCGCTAGAGCGACTGAAGCGCAGGCTTTAGACCACCATCATTTGGTGGTGATTTGGGGGTCTTGCCAGCTGGTGGGAGCATGTGGAGGGGCGCCTTTCGAGGGAGGAAAGAGGAGCTACGCTAAGGAGTGTGTATATAATGCATATGTACATACACTAGGGGGCTTGCGGTGCGGCGGCGGCGGATGCTGCTGCTGCTGCTGCTGTGGGCGCTGTGTGTGTCGGCTGCAGTTTCGGATGAACGGAAGGCGAATTTTCTTCCTCGAACGACTCCGATGACGCGCTTCAGCGGCTGTCACTCGTTGATCAGAGTCTAGCGGGTGCTAGGATCAGCGAGGCAAGGGCGGCGACACTGCGGCCTGTGGCTGCGAGGGCATCCCCCTGAGGGGCAGCAGGAAGCGGAGGAAACACTGCTTTAAAATTCAAGTGAAATGAAGGCAGGCGTTTCCAATGGAAAATGACCGCCCATCACGAAGTGAGACCGCGTTTAGTGGTCGTTCTGCTGCTTGAGAGAGGAAGCGCGGTAATCCCAGGTGTCTGAACACCTTGTTCGGAATTCGGGATGCACTTTGCCGCTTAAAAGGAGCTTAAAGCGTTTACTAGGCGAGCCGTGAGACAAATAAAAGAGCATGGAAGAGATGCTTGCTTCTGTCGGTTGTTGTCGAGGGCGCAGACACTGGAGGTGTCGGCTGCGACTGTGCTGAACGGCGGTGGCCGTCTTCGCATATACTCCCCCCGGCGAGGCACCTCGGCTTAGGATCCGTTTTAACGCATTTTTTCAAGAAAAAAAGCATCCTAAGACTAAGAATTAGGAGGTAATGCGTTTGCTAGGCCACAATCAGCGGAAAAGGCGTCCAAAAAATGCCTCGAGAGAGTCAGATACGTCTGGACAAGGGGGCAGCTCCCCAGTGGTAGGAGAGATGCAGGCAAGAACGAGCGATGCAAACGACTTGACAATGGAACAAACAATGTCAAAAGGCACCAGTTAATGCAAAAATATCCGATGGTAGTATGGCCTGCCACAGAGACAAGGGCAGATTAGAGAGAAGCCATGACTCCTAGGATACTCCCACACGACCTCCCTCGCCACACAAGACCAGTGCTTCGTGCGCGCTGCCGCATGCAGCACCCAATGCTCTGTTTGCACATCGCTTTAGCTTTTTCACTGAGGCCGTATAACTTCTGGATGCCACCGCGCGTACCCCCAGCCAACAAGTCGCTCACTTCCCCGTCAAATGCCACTCAATGGGGGGCGGACTTCCGAAGAAACGCACTTACGCGTCGCATCTTTCCCAAGAAGGGCTAAAATTTTGTTTCGCCCAGTCGCGCGTGTTCTTACACTGAAACGAGCATGGTGCATGACAGCGGCACTCGCCTGCCTGCGGGCTGCCCCTTTCTGAAGGGAACGTAGGTATTGCCACTGACTGCCATTGTACCCAATTTGTCTGGTACCTTCCAACCTCTGTCTGTCTGTCTCTTTCTCTTTTAGTTATCTATACACCTGAAGAGGGCACTCCTGCTGCTGGCTGCCTCGATGTTGCGCGGTGGTAGCTTGAAGAGGGGACCGCTGCAGCGGTTCCTTTTTCCTCCTTAGTGCGGCACGCCCATGCCACAGACGAAACAGAAAAAAAAGGTTGCTTTTCTACATAGCACTGACACGCATCACAGGCTGATGTAGAACAGCTGTACACACAGCCCTCAGGGGTGTAGGACCTTCCTTCATAACACCGACGAACTATAAACGAATCGAAAAAACAGTCGATTCACGAGCGAACCTCAAAGGAAGGAAGCGTGAGCAGCGGACGAAAACAATTCCTTCCGCTTCGCAGCTTTAACTGCAGTAGCAACAAGTGCCATCAAGAGCCCGTCGCAGTTTCGGATTGCCCAGTTGTGCATGCGCGCTTCTTCCGCCGCAGCGATCACTCTGTGGATGTGTTCCGCTGCTGCCTCTGTCCGCCCAGGCTGCTCTCTGCCACCCCCCTCTATTTTGGTGTCGTAAGCGATGCACAGCTCAGTAGCGCGGGAAACAACAGACAGCAGCAGCGAAGAAGCTCGAGAGGACGCAACTGCGTCGGCACGTGCAGCGGAGGAAGAAGGCATGGCATCTGCCCCACGCAACTCCCCCCTGTACGGATGCGAAGCAGCAGACAGTGATACGGAAGAAAAGCTGCTGCAGCCCTCTGTGGCGTGCAGCAGCCCTCCGTCTTTGCTCGCAGAAAATTCCCTCGTGGCCTCTTCGCAGGCTGCCGCGCAGACACGCGTGCCTTTGTGAAAAAACTTGGGCTTGTGCGCAATAGCTGCTGCCTCTGCGTCTTCTATTCCCCCGTTGCAGCTATCGCCATTCGCGGCAGCGCAAGAGCTAGCAGCTCCAGCAGCAGTGAATGCAGAAACAGCCTCACGCGCAGCAGCCGTGGACGCAACCGAAACGCATGCTTGCATGTGAGGGGCAGAGCAACTGGCCTGACTTTTCAGCATATGAAACGCAACAAGGGCGATGCGGATGGCTTCCCACGAGAGAAATAGAACCTGCATTCGAAAAAGCAGAAAAAAATACCCGATACAGCAACAACAACCTTGCTGTCTCCAAAGGACTGGCTGTACAGCGATTCTCGCAGTTCCGTTTGGCAGCCGCCCCTGAGTTTTTAGCTCGCCTCATTTCCGTGCATGCGCTTAATAAGAAAGAAAGAAAGAAAGAAAGAAAGAAAGAAAGAAAGAAAGAGAGAGAGAGAGAGAGAGAGAGAGAGAGAGAGAGAGAGAGAGAGAGAGAGACTGAAAGAGAGAGAACGACAGAAAGAGCGACATACAGAGAGACAGACAGACAGAAAGAGAGAGAGAGAAAGACAGACAGACAGACAGACAGACAGAGAGAAAGCTCTTATTAAAAAAACACCTTTGGTTCAGTCATGGCTTCAATCTCAGGCCATGTTACGGTCTGCCCATCCTGGCTGCTACAGAGGAAGAAGGCGAACGCGAAAAGTTCGTTTCTGTGTAGGCACAGCAGACAGCGACAGCATGTAGGAGCACAGGCATACTGTCGCATGTACTAGAGAAGTGTATGCCTCCCATGGAAAACGAAAAAATAAGCCATTTGCAAACAAAAAGCAAAAAAAATCGTCCCTTCCACAAAGAGTGCGGTGATGCAGAGGCCACACCCTCGCACAAGAAGAAGCTCCAGGAAAAAACACATTCGATGCTGAACGTTCAGCATCACAACAGGCAGTAGCACTGGCATGCATTGCGAGATGGCATCGTGGCAAGAAAACTGAGCAGTTGCTTCCATGTAAATACAACGACCCATGAGAACAACGCCTTATATATATGCGCTGAAGAGCTCGTATGCGCGCAGACTCCGAGAAATTACACACATATACATATGTGATATATATATAATACACATATACACACATACACATACAGACCAGGATACCAATGCGAATAGAACTAGCCATCAGCCTCAGCCTTTAGGCAGGATGCGGCAGATCACAAAAGCCACCGCTGTCTGCCCGCATTGGAGAAAGTGACAAACTGACTAGCAAGCAGAGGGAGGAGGGGGAGAGAGGGGAGAAGGAAAGGGCATCCCTCAGCCCACTAGGAGCAGATACAGTCCAGCGCATGCTCCAGCAAAAGCTGCAAGAATCATAAGACGAGAAGGGGGAGCTACAGGCAGCACCAGCCCACGAAACAAGACAACGGCAAAGAGCAGCTCAAGCAGCTGCAGCGGCTTTCGAGTCATCACAGCCACGAAGAACAAATAATTCGCAGCGTGAAAATCGTTCCAGGCACGTGTGTGAGCAGGTTCGACCTCTCCCTCGTCCTCCTAACGTCTGCTTACTGAGCCTTGCTGAGGCTGCAGAAATCCTCGAATTTGATTTTTATGCGCAAAAAGTCTCCGTGATTCAGCAGGTGGGAGGCGAAGACAACGAACTGCTGCCGGTGCTGTTGGCGGCAGAGTTCTACCTGCAAAGCAGCGGCAAAAAGCGCACAATTACACACACGTGCCAGAGGAAGAAGAGTTGAGCCAAGCAAAGGAGACATTTGGGTGTTAATAAATGCGGCGGAGGGTGGGAGTGGTTGGCATGGGAGAGACGGCAAACAGTCCTCTGGAAAACGCAGACAGTAAAGAGTAGCGAGAGAGGAGAAGGAAGGCTCCCCATATAAAAGGGGAACGCAGCGAGAGAAAGAGAGAAAAAGAGAGAGAAGGCAGTGGATGGCAAGGCACTCGCTCCTGCCTTCCTTCCCCGTATCCCTCCACTGGCTCTACAAGGAACGGGGGCAATCGATTGTTTTTTTGATTTTTTGTGAAACTTCAGCCTTCAGACGCGCGGCAGAAATGCGGAGGCGGAGTATGTAAGCTAAGCCTCAAGCCCAAAAGGAGAGTGGCAGCGGAAGCTACGGAGGAGCAACAAACGCGGCAGAAAAGGCAAGCCGCGAAGCAGCAATCAAGCGCCATAGAACAGTCGCTTCCCCCCTACTCCCCCCTTCCTCTTCACGCACTTGATGTTGCGCAGATCTGACAATGCGTTGAGACACACGCAGCTCTTCAGCAGCTTCTCCTCGCCGCTTCTGCAAGGCAACAGAGAGACACCGTCAGACCCTGTGGAGGTGTGCATGCAGAGGCTGCAATTGCGAACGGCTCTTGCTCCGACTGCAAAGCAAGAAGCAGTTGCGCCGTGAGACATACACACACAACACAACAGCAACAGTCCACAGCTTCCCTAGGCGTTCTGGCAACGCCACAATGATGGCTGGCAATGGAAAATGCGGGAGCTTTTGCGACACCAAAGCAGACTGTGCGTGTGTGTTTGTGTGTGCAATTGCGTGGTCTTTGTGCATGGTTGTGTGTGGGATTGTATCTTTGT